TGTCTCCACGTTTATCTTGTCACAGGAGCCCTGGTCCCAGAAGGTAGGCTAGGGCAAACAAGATCGGGAATGGAGGGTCTGCTTTAGTGCCTCCCTGAAACACTCATGCAGGTGGTCCACACCTTCCTGCACATTCCTGACTCTTCTCCTTTTCCACCACAGACCTGGAATGACACTAGGTTTGGTACAGAAAGGATGAAGTCAAAGATGAAGGGGCTAAGAGAGGAAACTCCCAAGGGTGAATTCAGCAGCAAACTAGTCACTTAAAGATGCTACTCTGCAAGGAGAGCTGTGACTGTATCCTACCCTCCACTTCCATGGCTGGATTTTTGAGTAGGAAGGCTTGCAAGAGCCTCATTCTGTGACATTAATAGGTGATAATTTATTTTTGTCCTTTGATTGATTGCTTTCTTGGAAGAGCCTGGAGAGGGAAGATAAGGAGAACAGCTGCCTCATTCTGACCAGAAGATTTCCTGCTGTCTGAGGGCAGTTTCTAACCCCTGCTCCCAAGCATCCTCTGAAGGAGGAAAAGCCTTCCTGTGTCACAGTCAGGGGAAGAGGACAGTGACCTTGGCAAAGAGCAGCAAAGAGATGACACCCAACCACTGAGCAGCCAGCACTGGGACAGCCCCTTTCAGGCACAGGAAAGTGGGGATGGGCTTTGACCCTTGGAGGCAGTGGTGATGGCCCACATGGGGGTCCTGGATTCAGGCAGGCCACGGCAAGCATTTGGGGCACAAACAGTCAAATGGAAGAGCATGTTCTCTAATTGTCTCCCAGTGCCTCTGAAAAAAAAAAAAAAAACCCAAACCTAAAACCAGAAAAACGATTAAAAAAAAAAGACTGATTTAGTATGGGCATGTTTCGCTACTATGAATATGCATACAAAATAGCCCCCAGTAATTTCTTTGGGTGGGTACCATAAAATGGTAGGCCCAAAACAGGAAAGAAAAAAACCATATTTTTTAGTCAAGAAAGAACATAACATAACATCGACCAAGTAGGTAAGAAAGGCACAAGGAGAAGCTCTGTGTTTCTATGGCAAATTCCATATCATTGTGTGCATATGTTTAAGAACTGGGTTACAATATTTAGGTTAGGTATGACTGTTCCCAAGTACTGCTCATCACAGTCAAAAAACTTTGTCTATAATGAAATCAATGCAGCCCACAGTGGATATTGGTGGAAGGATAAATAGAATGATTAATTGCTTCAAATTATTGCCCAATTATTGCTGAATGGCTACACACAAAGAACCACAATCAATGGCAAATTGTCTCACAGTATTCCACTTGTTTTTCTTCGTGGCTCTCGAGCTTATGGAGAACACAATATACACAGGACAACAATACCAGAAATTGGACTTCATGGGACCCATGGGTTTCTAGGATGTCTCTCCCCAGTGCCAGAGACAATGTTACAGGGATCACAGCCTAGAACATGCCAGATTTTCTCCTATAGAAACCTCCACCTCTACCAGTCTTGAGTGAATTCTAAGCTTCCTTTTCTGCCCTGACAATCTTAATGTCCACTTGCCTAATCCCATGTCGGAGTTAAGTTTGCTGCTTCCCACTCTTTAATGCTGTGAAACTCATCTTTCCCAAAAGTTGAAAACTTTAGGAGGGTGTTTACATGTACTTTATACCTACCCTTGTGGTATACTTCTATTAGGTCCTTAACAACAGAGGACAAAATAAACCAGTGCTGTTTCTAAGATCCTCTAAATGCCGTAAAAAGGAGAGATCAAGAACAACCTTTCCAAGTGTGATTAGGAAGGTGTCTTTGGAAGGAAAGCGACAAGGTCTTGGGTAGCCATGGGAGTGTACCCGTGAGGTCTTCACTTCAGTGACAAAGTACACGTTGAGGACTCTGGTTAGTGTGCACCCTGGAGTCGCTCTTTCTTGGATTCACACAGTGAGGGAATAAGAGGCAGGCCAATCCTGCATAATGCACACTTCCTTCTGGGTCTTCTGTGGTCTAGCAGAACCTTTCTCAAAGCGGCCTATAACCCATCCTTGGAAGTTCCATCTTCCTTTGTGGAGGTGTCAGACTCACAGTGTGGTCCTAAGAGTCATTTCAGCTGATAAAACACCCACGGGGACTTCAAAGAGTGGAAAATAGTGTTCACAGATTAGCTCTACTAAGTGCAAAAAGTAGAAGCCAGTGCATGCTTTTTCATTAAACACATATTCTGTGAATCAAGACTCCTCACATGCATGAACTTCCAAAAATTTTTTTCTACCAACAAACATCTTTAAACTCTATTTTCCGTGGACATCTTTTAAAGAGAGAGAGAGAGAGACAGGGAGGGTGAGGAAGAGGACAGGAAGAAGTTGGAAGCCAGGAACTCAATCCAGGTGTCTTACACAGGTGGCAGAGACCCAAATATGTTATCACCTGCTACTTCCAAGGGTCCACATTAACAGAAAGCTGGAATTTCAAGCAGAGTAAGACAGTGAGCCCAGGCACCCTGATATGAAATGTGGGTATCCTAACTGATGAGTTACCCTCTAGGACAAGCACCGGAGTTTTCTGAAACATCACTGTAGGTAAAATTCTTCCTAAAAAATGAATTCTTTTCCTGAGAAATTAACATTTGTGAGATATGACTCCCAGAGCTAAAGAAATAAAAGCCATTTCTGATCTGCAACAGAAATCCATATTGATTTTTCCCTTTGCACATCTGCATCACCATTTCCCAACCCGAGACACTGTGAAGGGCATGATTATTTATGTCCCTTCAAATTAACAGATCACACAAATCCCTCTTAGGACCTTCCTCTGAGAATGCCTCTAATTCCAGCACAAGTTCTCTTTTTAACTATTTCAAATGTCTATTTCCTTTCATAAGGATGATAGGTGCCTATTCGTTCCTCTTCCCAATCAAAGCAAAATCCAAGTGGACATTTGTCGGCTTCCTTTCATCCTGTTTTATATTTTGCACTCACTTATGTATTTGTATTTCATCTGAAAACTCAGCTGACATCTACCAAGCGGACACTTACAAGGTACAATGTGCCAAACACACATGCTCTCTGGCCCTTATGAAGCTCTGGTGGTCAGTAGATGAGCAGATACACACACAAGGTCATTTCAGACACATTTGGTGCTTTGAAGAATGAACCGTGGAATGATGTGACAGTGACGGGAGTGATGGGGATTTGGGAATGAACAGGGCTTTTATAAGGAGGCAAGATCTGAACAGACACGTGACATTTGAGATATACCTTTGCTACAAGCAAAGAAGAAGTCTTACAGTAGAGGAAATGACAAAGGCTCGCAGGGCAGTACTTCACTTCCCTTGTGAGCCCCCAAGGGCTGCCGGTGTTGGGCTGAATCAGTGCTCTATTCTGGGGTAGTCAAATAGGCAGGCAGTACAATTTTGTGGAATATGTAAATGAACTTGCTCTCTGGGCAGCTCAGTTTAGAAGATCTTCCATGACTTCCCAATCAAGGTACAGAGTTGAGCCTACATCCCAGGCATCTCTGTAAGCCTCCTGAAGCCAGTGGTTCCCACATTCCCACGTCCAGAGTACTTGGGCCCCTACCCAGATTTGTTTACGGAACTCCTAGCTGATCCAAAGCCTTTGAAAATAACAAAGTCTTGAGGGTGGGGCACGCATGAGATTTTTCTCCTCTGCCAAATCAGGAACTGGGAAGAAACAAATAGATACTTCCCAAGTTAATCCTCTAGAGGGCGTTTGGCTTTACCTCGTTTTTCTACTTCCATGAGGTTTATTACTGTTATTCGCTATATAACTGAACATAATCATCAATCCCAAATTCTGCTGGCTTCCATGTGACCCTGACAACCAGCATGTATGCACTACATAGTTCACTCTGGTGCAGGTACAACCTTCCTCAAAAGGGGGGAGGCATTTTATCACAGCTGCGGGGATCAAGGAGAGATTTATGATAGTTACTAATGCAACTTACATCAGTGTCTTTGGAATTCTAATTAGATGATCAAACCTTTTGCAAATCATGACATTACATATGTGCTCCACACCTCACTGCAATGAGGGTAGTTTTTAAATGAGAGGATCTTCATGTCACAGGTAATGATGCATTGCTGATAATGAACTTGCAGAGAAATTCCTCCAATAAAAACCAGTTCGAAAAGACAGAGGTCATTTATCTTACTTTCTTTCCCAGTTTTCCATCTGAGTTTAAGAAGTCTGTTGTACAGAAGGTTGGTCTAATGTTTTTTCATTCTAGTAGCTGCATAAGGCTTCCTAACAAGCTCCACAAAATTTTTTTAAAATAAAGATTTATTTTATTTTTATTGGAAAGTCAGATATACAGAGAAGAGGAGACAAAGAGAGGAAGATCTTCCATCTGCTGATTCACTCCCCAAGTGGCTGCAATGGCCAGAGTTGAGCTGATCCAAAGCCAGGAGCAAGTTGTTTTTTCTGGGACTTCCACACAGGTGCAGGGTCCCAAGGCTTTGGGCTGTCCTCCACTGCTTTCCCAGGCCACAAGCAGGGAGCTGGATGGGAAGCAGGGCACAGGGACACAAACCAGTGCCCTGGCATGTACAAAGTGAGGACTTCAGCCACCTGGCCACCATGCCAGGCCCACAAGCTCCAAAGTTTAATGACTTGTCCTACCTACTTATATTTTCCCCCTAAATCCTAGAAGCAAATCAGAAGTTTTAATAATGGAAAGTGACTGGAAAGAAGCATATATTTAGGAGACAATGAGATAGATAGCAGGTTCAACACCTAGGAACAGTACCTCTCAGGACATTCTGATTGATAACCTATGCATTCAAAGAGGTATTCGAAGAGAAACAAATTGCTTACTGTTAACCCAGACCTATTTCCCAGTAATAAATAGGTGTGCTCTTTACCCATCAAATAATGGCTCCAATGCCCTTCAATATCAGTGGATGAGAAATGGGTGTCACCCTCTGTATCCTGCCAGATAACCCGATTCCTTGAGGTGGAGATCTGAGCCCTTCACATCCCAGCACAAGGAAATACATGTGGCTTACTTACCATGATGTACGACACCCTTCAACCCGTGGATAATAGGATCCAGCGCGGAATTGTCCCTCGGACTGACCTACATGTAAAGGAAACATGATTGGTTAAATCTATTCTGACATCAGACACAACAGCTTCAGTTTAATCTTCTAAAGAGATGGGGCAAAAAATAGATGTTATTTAGCAAGCTGCTTAGGTCTCACTTATAGCATAGCTTTCCCCAAATGCAAGAGATTTATGATACAACAGAATCAAGTGCGGAAGTCTAAATCAAAAGAAACTTCTCAGAATACATTATAACGGTAGAGAAACAACACAGACCAGCAAAACCTTAAGACTTTTTGCTTGCCTTGTTTTATTAAGAGGAGGTCCTGATGGGCTAAAAAGTCATGGAGAGACATCAGAGGGCAAAGCATCATTAACCAAGTCAGCCAGTACCTTCTGGCGACTGGGATTATGTTTTGGAAAATGCATCAGTTCCCTGCCAGCCTATTACATTCATAAGGTTCCCAATTTCCAGTGAAAAATCACACACTTAAAGTGGCCCTTCTCAGAATTACTCAAAGCAAAAGATAAATGGAAAAGCATCTTAGAAAGACAGTGTCTCCTACCCTCATTTCTTTATGGACTTTTGAAAGATTTATTTATATTTATTGGACAGGAAGATTTACAAAGAGAAGGAGAAATAGAGAGAAGGATCGTCCATCCACCGGTTCACTCCCCAAGTGGCTACAACAGGCTGAGCTGAGCTGATTCAAAGCCAGAAACCAGCAGTCTTTTCCTGGTCTCCAGCACAGGTGTAGGGTCCTAGGCAACAAGCAGGGTGCTGGATGGAAAAGGGAGCAGCTGGCACACGAACCGGCAGTGATGTGGGATCCTGGTAGATGCCAGGAGAGGATTTAGTCACTAGGTTAATCCACCGGACTCCTTTTCTGGACTTTCTAATCCCCTGCCAAAGTCAAGTCTCCTTGGTTTGATCTCTTCCACTGTCAATTTCTTGACACTACTGAGCAGAAATTCCACTCCTACCTTTTCAAGATTAAAATCCCATGCGCACACTACAGTTATGGCTTGAAGACTCTTTCTTTCGAAATCCCTTGAAATATTTATAAATGAAAGGAAATGGTGTCTAGACTCGCTGCAAAAAGAGTCCAAAAGTGGACAGCAGGGGGAGTGAGTGGAGCACAGATGCACAAAGAGTGACCTTGAAGCAATCATGTATGACCTTGAGTGGGAAGTACAAAGACAGGACATGCTTCCATTCTCTTTTACTTCTGTGTCCATGAAAAAAATTTCCAAAATGAAGAGTTTTTCCAAAAGCCATTATCTGTGATCAGCAAGCTCTCTGCCCTTCTTTTTTCTCAGGAATGGTATTTATATTTAATCCACTTCTAACATAATGAAGTTGACATATTGACAAACCTTTCACTGTGCAGCAAGACCCAACCTGATGCAGAAGGTTCCAGAGCCACCTTTAGAGGGAGTCCGACTGGCATCCACGTTCCCTTGTACAAACACCCCCGTAGTGTGCATTACTGGTTTGTTCTAACAGAAACCCACATTTACACATCCCTCTCTGTACCAGCATCTCCAGGTGGGAGTACGGGTTCTCAGATGAAACTGGCTGTGCTCTCTTGGGAGGATGGATGGCTGTGTCTGGTAACATTTTTGCCCATCACAGCTATGGGTTAACTGTTTAAGAAAAGGATGAAGAGCTATTAGAAAAGGAGTAGAGCTAGGGTAACTGCTGAGCACCTTAAAATTCTATAAAAGAGCCACCAATATTAATGGTGTAGAGCTTGGAATTGAGAAATACTATTTAGATGTTCTAAGTGCTACTCATGATTACACGTTGCTATTTGAAGTCTCAACTTAGACCTAAATGCAGAACACAGGTGCTATCATGCAGTGTTTATAGACTAGTGACATGACAGAGAGTTTCGTACTGTATTGTGAATGCTGTAAGTATGGAGAAAGGACCACTGAACAGACCCAAGTTTTACCAGATCACAAGGGTGGGATTCTGGGAGCTGGCATGAATATACCTCAAGCCAGGGGCCTGACACACACTGATGCATGAAACATTCTTGAAGACAAACACCCACAGCAAATAATCAAAATCTTATTTGCACCATTGCCAAAAACAGATTCATAGTATAAAAATGCAACATAAGAAAAACTAACTGGCATATGTGTCTGAATTTCAAAAGCCTGGAGTATAATAAAGTAAGAGTCCAAAGAAATGCCCCATATCTCAAGATAGTCTTCTAGAAGATGAGAGACCACAATGCAGGCACAGGCAGGGGCGATGGAGGTCCTGTCAGATACTGCCAGCTACTGGACCGCTGAGTCTGAGACCAGGAGGTCTCAGGTGAACACTGGCTCTGCACAGGGACCATCTAAGCTGCCCACAATCAGAACTGACCAGACAACCTATAGAATTAAAATTAAAACTGGTTGCTTCCGGTTTTAATAAACAGACCCCGTTTGAGAACAATTTAGTAGCTATTTAGTGTACGCAGAGGTAGAAGATGGAGGACGGGCTACAACAGCAATACTTTTGTTCACTAACATACTTTGCTTATGGTTAGTCTTAAAGGTTTCTAAATGGGCTTCCACACCACAAGACTCAGCACATTTGCTGCCTCCTGATTGGCTCATTTGACTCCTCCAGTGACATCATTCCTCAGCCACAGTAGCCCCCTGATCCCCAGTTTGGCTTTCTGAGGTTTTGGTTACTCATGGTCAACCAGAGTCTGACAATATTAAATGGAAAATTTAGGAATACATCCTTTCTAAGTTTTAAACTGCATGCCAGTCTGAGTAATACGATGAAATCTTGGGCTGTCCCATCCTGTGTTGCCTGGAAAGTGAACCAATGCTTTGCCGAGAATATCTGCAATGTATGTGTCACTTGCTGATTAGACAGTGACCAGCCATCTCTCTTCAGATCAACCACCACATCACAGGGCTTGCATTGTTCTACTTCCTTTTTGTTGATGCTTATGTATTTTTGTGATAAACTGATAAACTCAACTTTATCATACATTAAAAAAACCCCACAATATACGAGGATAATTCACAAAGTTCATGAAAGATGGAATTAAAAGGTAAGTTTCTGATGCTGGCACTGCAGCACAGCAAAGTACTGCCCGCTCCATTCCTATCCCATTTGAGTTCTGCCTGCTCCACTTTCCATTCAGCTCCCTGCTAAAATAATGTTTGGAAAAGCAGTGAAGAATGGCCAAAGTTCCTGGGCCCTCGCCACCCAATAGGAGACCTGGACAGAGTTCAGGCCACTTGGGTTCACGCTGGCCGAGCCCTGGTCACTGTGGCTGCTTGAGGAGTGAGTTTGAGAATGGGAGCTCTCTCTCTAAATTCTGGCTTTCAAACAAAATAGGTCACTAATTCCTAAAAATGATTTATTTGTAAGGCAGAGCTACTGAGAGATGCAGTCAGAAAGAGATGATTCAGGTTTACTTCCCGAAGGGCCACAAGGGTTGGAGCTGGGCCAACCCGAGATGGGAGCCAGCAGCTTTTGCAGGGTCTCCTACATATATGCAGGGGTCCAAGCACTGAAGCCATTCTCTGCTGCTTTCCAAGGCACATCAACACAGAGTAACATTGAAAGCAGAGCAGCCAGGACTACAATTGGTGCCCAGGTGGAATGCTGACACTGCAGTTGACAGATTTACCCACCATGCTGCAACACTGGCCTCAGTAGTTAATTTTTAAAGAGTTGCTTCTTTTAGTACTTTCAACTTTGAAATCCATGCCTAATTTTTTCATAACCATTTTCTCATGAAATTTTGGTAGATGCTATACATGCATGATCAAAAACATTTCTGGATCAAAAGTCTTGTATGCTTTTTTTTTTAAACCATAATTTTCTGAAGCAGCCTGCATTTACGGCCAGTGTTATCTCAAGTATTGGGTACCCACTGGGAGCACTAAAATGTATCCTCTATGGATAAGGGGGTGCACCTGTCCTTTGAACTTGCACCCAAAGGAAAGGGGGTGTGCTTGCAGTTAGGAGAAAGCTTTAATACATTTAGTTTTATCTGATGGTGTGAAGGCTCCCAATTCCTCCACAACTGACACTCACCAGCAATATTTGTAATCTATCCAAGAAAACCAGCAGGCAACCCAGGCAGGTGCAATCTCTGATCATTTGTGATCATACCTTCTCTGAGTTTGATACTCAAGCCAGGCCTCACCCAAGCTCCAAAGTCAGCCCCCAGACTCTAAGCAGTCATCACATTATTCCCCACTATTCGTACCAGCCTCACTCTGCTGGCTGATACGGTTGGCACTGAGAAGAGGGATGCTGGGAAATGCAGAGAGAAGAACAGTGATGATTGGCTGGCCCGAGTAACTCATTAATAATGCTGAGATCATGTTCCCGTTCATGCCTTAGTTCCAAAGCTCAGGATTCAAAATAGCATGCTAATAAGTGAATCTGTTCCAGCAAAGCACAACACAAACGCAACTAATTCCTTCCACTCACTGTTTCAACTGATTTGCCGCTTAAAAATATCCTTGAACACAAGCTAAGCAATTTGTGCGACTTTTCAAACATGACAACAACAAAGGCAGCTTCACCGGCCGTTCTTGTTCTGTTCTTCTTCCAGGTTAGAGAAGGTCTAGAGACAGGAAAGCCAAAATGTTTAACCCTTTGAGGGCTTGATTTCCTCATCCGAGAAATGGGGATACAATCTAATAGTGTTATGATGAAGATGAAATGTGTGAAAGTTAGAATATAATGCTGACTACAGAGTACTGGCTAAGGGGTAGATAATATTGGGTAACAAGTCAACCCAACCCGAAATGCTAACGTTTATCTTTTTTTAAAGATTTATTTAATTTTATTGCAAAGTCAGATATATAGAGAACGAGAAACAGAGAGGAAAATCTTCCGTGCATTGATTCACTCCCCAAGTGGCCACAACAGCTGGAGCTGAGCCGATCTGGAGCCAGGAGCCAGAAGTTTCTTCTGGGTCTCCCACACGGGTATAGGAACCCAAGGCTTTGGGATGTCTTCAACTGCTTTCCCAGGCCACAAGCAGGGAGCTGGATGGG